AGTCATTTATTTAACAGAATCAAAATTTAACATCAAACATGTACACTTGATTGGCTGATCTGTTTCTGATTAATAAACTTAGCAAGTTCAAATAACAAGAAAACAGAGGATTACTGATGGAGAATAATTCATCTCTGAAGGCATTTAGCTTGATTTACTGGCGAAGAGTTTTCAAGAGGAGGATTTAGATGGAGGAAGAAAAATGTGTTGACCAGGAATGGCACCCTTCATCCGACCTCAGCTCGGCCCTCAGTACACTCGGTGCGTGACGACTCATTACCTTTGTAGAATATAAATCAGCTCCGGTACAGGGGTCCATTTCACGCTACTTTTCAGCGTCTCCGGTCAGAGTGGCTGGGAATCGTCCGAAGTAGTGACGGTACACCGTTCAACAGAATAAGCTTCCTTAGAAGGAATCTTCATTAGAAGTTGTAGGGCGTTACGCCCGGGTGAGTTCACAGCGAGGCGTGCTGTGACTCCGCTGAAATGGACGGACCCTTGGCTCATGGTCAAATTCCATCAGCTATTTAGTTCAGCTGTAAGACTCCAGCAAGACTGCAGTCCCAGTAAAACTCCAGTCAGACTTTCAGTAAGAACTAAAAGTTCCAGTTAGACTGAGTAGTTCCAAGAAGTGTTGACTTTTAAAGGGTATCCACTTCCTGTTACTTGGTACTTCCTGATTGGTTAATACGACCAACAGGGGTGGAGTTTTAGTGATGTCAGAGGGTTATTAGAAGTCACAGACAGCAGAAATGTTTTTAAGAACGGTTAGTACAGACAGGAAACTATTTTGAAGAAGTGAGAGACTTGCAGGCGCGCCAGTTTCTTATTTACTGTCTGAGAGTTTTAAAACAAGGTACTTCGTTCTCATAACTTGTTCTCTGACTTTTGACCGACATCAAATCCACTCCTCATTCAGACAAAAAAGTAAAATGCACAATTGCAATTACTTTGTAAATAGACATTTACTTGTATGATCCAAGTCTAATGAGGTTTAAAAATCATTAATACTGTTTCACAGTTGATTTAAATGAGTGGTTTACTTCAACATTAGAAATGGTATGAACTAAACACACTTTTGATTATCAAGATATTGTAAAATAGTTAATGATAATATAAAAAAAGAAGAGTGTTCTTTCCATTGATTAATTCAGGATACAATTAAATAGTCTCTTGACGAGATAATTTGTATTTCTGGATTCAAATCAATGAAATAACAGTTCCTGTCCCCTGAAGGTCTTCAGAGACAGATTGATGTCAGAGGTCTAGTTCACTACAATATCAATTATTAATCATTGTTAACATAAACATTATTTTTTATAATATTCATATCAATGATTGAAATTAATGTTATTATTAATATTAATTATTATTATCAATAATTATTTTCAATGTTAATATTAATAATATTCATATCAATAGTTATTATTAATGTTAATTATTAATATTGCTTATTAATATTAACATTGATAATTATTAGCAATATTAATTTGTGTTAATTATTATTATTACTAATTATTAATAATAATAATTTTTGATAATAAGTAATCATAGGTGCCTTCTATGTATTGCATGGAGGATGCATGAATGCTTTGCAAGGCAATGCACTGCCTTCCTTGCATATTGAACCAAAATGGAACCATACGTTACTGAGTTTCTGTGAAAAGTTTTCTCCTATTCATTTCCTATGGGAAATTTGACATTTTTGTTAGGAAAATATGTCACCATGGTAACTGCGAATGCCAATAAAAGTAATAGCACACTTCCTGGAGCTGGGATGATCGTTTTGATATAACTTTTGTGGGGGTCCGCGCTGCGGTTTGGGCCACATTAAAGTTGAAAAAGATACACTTATCAGGTGTAGGATAATAAGTGGCCAGTCACCAACTAGTTCTTGGAGTTGGTGAAATATTGCGTCTTTCTTCAAAATTACGTCGCCATGGTAACTTGAAATACCAATAAAAGTAATAGCACACATCACGGGGCCGAGCCAGTCATTTTGATATAACTTTTGTGGGGGTAGACATTTTGGTTCGGGCCACATTAATGGAGATAGAAATCGAGACACACTTATGAAGTGAATATGTAGGTGCCTGCCATGCTTTTGCATGGCAGTCCCCAATAATCACAATTAATCACAATTAAATTTTATTAATCTTTGCCCAGCATTTATATTTATATTATATATTTCATCCAGAATGTATTCACAGCAATTCACTTTTTCCATATATTGTTATGTTAATGCCTTATTCGAAATTGTATTAATCTGTTTCCTCAAAACGCTACACACAATAACCCACTATCACATTGAATTTTTTTGGAGATTTTTGCAAATTTGTTCAAAATAGAAAACAAATAAATCACATTAAGTATTCACAGTCTTTACCATGAAGCTCAAATTGAGCTCAGATGCATACGGTTTTCACTTATCATCCTTGAGATGTTTCTACAGCTTCACCACCTGTGGTAAATTCAGTTGACTGGACTTGATTTGAACTATATAAGGTCCCACAGTTGACAGTGCATGTCAAACCTGCCACTAGGAAACACAAGCCAGTGTATCTCTTATGCCGGTCCCAAGCCCGGGTAAATGGTGAGGGTTGTGTCAGGAATGGTATCTGATGTAAAACACTTTTGCCAAAACCATAATGCGAGTTCATCAAAGCGAAACCATACTGGATCGGCCGAGGCCCGGGTTAACAACGACTGCCACCGGTGCTGTTGACAAACAGGGTGCCGGCGGAAATTGTGCGACTGTTAAAGACCACGAGGAGGGAAACGTGTCAGGAGACAGAGGGAGAAGAGGAAAATGAAGAATGTAGGACTGAGAGTTGCAACTCTAAATGTGGGGAAAATGACAGGCAAAGATAGAGAGCTGGCTGACATGATGCAGAGAAGAAAGGTAGATGTTTTATGTGTCCAAGAGTCCAAGTGGAAGGGCAGCAAGGCTCGCAGCATTGGAGCAGGGTTCAAACTGTTTTACCATGGTGTGGATAAAAAGAGACATGGAGTAGGGGTGGTCCTGAAGGAGGAGTTGGCAAATAATATAGTAAAGGTGAAGAGAGTGTCAGATAGGGTGATGTGCCTGAAGGTAGAAGTAGGAGGTCTGATGCTAAACATCGTTAGTGGTTATGCTCCACAGGTTGGATGTGATGAAGAGGAGAAAGATACATTTTGGAAAGATCTGGATGAAGTGATAGAGAGTATTCCCAGGGAGGAGAGTGGTGATCAGAGCAGACCTGAATGGACATGTTGGTGAAGGAAACAGAGGGGATGAGGAAGTGATGGGTAGGTTTGGTGTCAAGGAAAGAAACCAGGAAGGACAGATGATGGTGGATGTTGCCAAGAGAATGGAAATGACTATAGTCAATACCTATTTCCAAAAGAGGGAGGAACATAGAGTGACCTATAAGAGTGGAGGAAGGAGTACGCAGGTCGACTACATTCTGTGTAGAAGAGGAAACCTGAGGGAGATTGGAGACTGTAAGGTTGTGGCAGGGGAGAGCGTGACCAGACAGCATCAGATGGTTGTGTGTAGAATGACTGTTGTTGTGAAGAAGAGAAAAAGAGTCAAATCAGAGAAGAAGACCAAATGGTGGAAGCTGAAGAAGGAAGAATGCTGTGAGAAATTCAGAGAGGAGCTGTTAATGACTCTGGGTAGTAAGAAAGAGCTTCCAAATGACTGGGCTACTACAGCAACAGTAATTAGAGAGACAGGTAGGAAGGTACTTGGTGTGTCATCTGGACAGAGAATGGATGATAAGGAAACCTGGTGGTGGAATAGTGAAGTGCAGGAAGCTGTTCAAAGAAAGAGGTTTGCCAAGAAGAAATATGACAGTGAAAGGACTGAAGAGAGGAGACAGGAGTATAAGGAGATGGGACGTAGAGCAAAGAGGGAAGTGGCTAAGGCAAAGCAGAGGGTGTATGATGAGTTGTATGGGAGACTGGACACTAAAGAGGGTGAGAAGGACTTGTACCGATTGGCGAGACAGAGGAATCAGGCTGGAAAGGATGTGCAACAGTTTAGGCTTATTAAAGATAGGAATGGTAGTGTTCTAACAAGTGAGGAGAGTGTGACGGGAAGATGGAAGGCGTATTTTGAGGAGCTAATGAATGGAAGCAAGACTTAGATGAGAGGTGACTATTTGTGAGCAGCAGTATGGTTTCATGCCAAGAAAGAGCACCACAGATGCCATCTTTGCTTTGAGAATGCTGATTGAGAAGTACAGAGAGGGTCAGAAAGAACTCCATTGTGTCTTTGTGGATTTAGAAAAAGCATATGACAGAGTGCCGAGGGAGGAGGTGTGGTATTGCATGAGGAAATCTGGAGTGGCAGAAAAGTATGTTAGACTGGTACATGACATGTATGAGGACAGCAGGACATGTATGAGGACAGCAGGACAGTGGTGAGATGTGCTTTAGGAGTGACAGATAGCTTCAAGGTGGAGGTGGGATTGCATCAAGGATCGGCTCTGAGCCCCTTCTTGTTTGATCTGGTGATGGACTGACTAACAGTTGAGGTCAGGCAAGAATCCCCATGGACGATGATGCTTGCAGATGACATTGTTATCAGTGGTGAGAACAGGGAACAGGTGGATGTGAACTTGGAGAGGTGGAGGTATGCACTTGAAAGAAGAGGAATGAAAGTCAGCCATAGTAAGACAGAGTACGTGTGTGTAAATGAGAGGGAGGTCAGTGGAACAGTGAGGCTAAAAGGAGCAGAGGTCACAAAGGTGCAGGACTTCAAGTACTTGGGATCCACTGTCCAGGAAAATGGGGAATGTAGCTTTGTAGAGATCTAGTATAGAGATGCATGAATGGGTGAATGAGGCACAGATTGTTGTAAAGAGCTTTTAGTGTCTTGATAAGATAAAAAGGGTGCTATATAAGTACAGTCCATTTACCATTTAAAATGACTTTTATGTTAGCCATAATGTTTTGTCTTTCTCGTGTTTCCTGTCAAGTTTGTTAAAGTAAATTTGTTTTCCTTTCTCTTACAGGGTCAGAGTGACAGTTAATGGAGAATTTCTGCATTACATCTACCCCTTCCAGTTCCTGGATTCACCTGAGTGGGACTCTCTCAGACCCTCAGAGGAGGCTGTGTTTCAGGTTTTATTTTTCTATTGCAAACTATAGATTCAAGACTGTTAACTTACTGTGAAATTACCAAATCTCTGCAGCTTTTCATTATGTAACACCATTTTTTAGTTGACACATTTTCAGATTACAAAGTATGACATATACTTTTCCCATAAGCTAAAAATGGGAGTTTGTCAAAAACTGTTGAGTTTACGCTGCTGAAAATCGGTCAGAGAAGTGTTCCTCATGTATTTTGAGATCCATATAAACATCAAGTGACTTCCCCTGGATTTAATCTGCGGTAAAATTATAGATTAATTTGTTTTAATTTTTACAAAATTGTGAACTTTTTGTAGCTGCTGATTGTGTCCCTTCTCAATGTTTTATATTTGGTGCAATCATTCAGTATTGATTATTTTTGGTGTTCAAAAGTCTTAAGGGCCACTGTGCATTTTCTTTTTTTAACCTGGCAAAATAGTGATGTTCTGTTCCTGGGTGAGATATGTTATAGTTTTTACTTTTCTATGGTGTACTCTTTCAGGGACCTGGCCCTGAAAGAGTTACAGATACATTCATTCCCCATGTCCAGACATAATCAGGCAGGGCCGTATGGGTTCACAATTATAGCCTAACAAATGTGTGTTTTAGACAGGCCCATGTATACTCTCTCTCTCTCTCTATGCATACTGCATGCTGGGAGTTGGTGGTGATGTGTGGTGAGTTTGATCGGGAGTGTCTCTGAGAGTTTTCAAACTTTTTCTGCTGATTCTTCTACAAAGTGTTTTTGTGAAAGACGTGGCTGCTATGGGGGGGGGGGGGGGGGGCAGCGATGAGAGGAGCGCACGCTCTGAAGCTGCCCCTCCCGCAGCCATCGAGGCTGAATCCACGAGAGATTCTGCTGGCTGCCGGTCCGGCCGAGGCTGCCCGTCCTGCAGCCTCTGGGACTGGTTTTTCCACGGCTTCCCTGGCTGTGGACACCACGGCCGTACGCAGCTCTGCGGCAGCCGGGGGCGCAGCCCACGTGCCCGCTGACAGCTTCATGAACAAAAGTCATGAAGTTCACGGTATTGTTGAATCAGTGTGTGAGCTCAGGAACTCAGTAGCTCCATTTGTTGATGTCGCCACACCTGAAATGTCAAGTATTGAGGCAGTGACTGAAAAAGCTACCGGATCAAAATGTAATGCTGACACCAGTTGTGAAGTTTTAAAGTTTGTTACTGACCCCCCTCTTAAAGCAAAACAAAAAACAAGGAATATTAATATTGAACAACCTGAACAAGACACGTCTAAGTCAAGCAGTATGGAGATGGAGGTGATAAGGTCTCATGGTCAGACTGATAAAGTGGCTGATGAGGATGAATATGAAACTGACTGTGACTGTGTCTCTGTGGCTGGCAGTATCTCTAACACTGACAACCTGTATACTTTTGAAGAGATTAATGAGTTCCTGGACGACACTTATGGCCTGTCAGTTGATGTCGAGGAACATTTTCCTGATGTTGAGAAGTTTATGAATCTGTGTCTATGTATCAGAAAACTGTAAGTTTGGATTTATTAGATGAGAAAAAACTTTACCGTCTCAAAAAACATGTCACATTATTGAAGAAAAATTTAAGAACATCTGATCAAAGTTGGCAAAGAAAATGAAACTTTCCAGATAAGATCATGATGAAACAGAATTTGCCTGTTTTTGTGTGCACTTGCTCTCATCTGCCTCACATCTGCTCTTTTCTCTTTTTACATGAAGGGTTTCAGGGTGGCCTCTCTAAACATAAACGGGGGAAGAGATGCACACAAGAGCTTTAATATCTGAAACTATTACACAAAAAGGTTGGATGTAGTTTTTTTTTGCAGGAAACTCACAGTGATAGTGGGAATGAGATAGACTGGGGTTTATGGTGGGGGGGACAATATGCCCTTAGCCACGGGACAAATGTTAGTGCAGGGGTTGCCATTTTGTTTTCTTCTGCCCTAAATATAAGAATTATCTCGTGCACTGAGTTTGTAAAGGGCAAACTCTTATTGGTGAAAGCGCAGATAGAGGATTTTATTTTTCATTTCATCAATGTCTATGCTCCCAACCAGGGCTTAGAAAGGGAGGGGCTATTTAAAACTCTGGATGCTAAATTAAAAAGCATTGATTGTGGGGAAACTTTTATCTTAGGTGGTGATTGGAATTGCTGCACTGATTTTAAGTTAGACAGGACTGGAGAAGAACCACACCTTCGGTCAGCACGTTTTCTGTCTCAGCTGCTGAAGAAAGCAGACCTGGTTGATGCTTGGAGAATGAAAAACCCTTCAAGCAGGCAGTATACTTGGGTTAAAGTTTCTGATGGTCAAGTTAGTGCTGCAAGGTTAGACAGGTTTTATGTCTCTGGTTCCATCATCACACGTGTTTTAAATTGTCAGATGTTTCCTGTTGGTTTCTCAGATCACCATTTAATTTCTATAGAAGTTACTCTTTTATCTACTGTGAAACAACAATCCTTTTGGCATTTTAATGTGAAATTGTTGCATGATTCTGTCTTCTGTGAAAACTTTAAGTTGTTTTGGATTAACTGGAGATCAAAGAAATGTGATTTCCCCACATTTATTCAATGGTGGGAAGTAGGAAAGGCCCAGATTAAGAACTTTTACCAGCAATATTCTTCTGGCAACTGTGCAGAAGCTGGAAGAAGAGGTAAAACATCTGGAAAATGTTTCTATCTCCAAATCAACCTCACAGACTTCTCTTCAATCCAAAAGACTTGAACTGAACTCTTTGTTACATGAGAGGGCCAAAGGAGCTTTAGTCAGAGCCCGTTTTAAAAATATACAAGAAATGGATGCACCCACGTCCTTCTTCTTTAGCTTGGAGAAGTCTGTCGCTCAGAGGAAACAAATAATCTGCCTTAAACTCCCAAATGGACAATTGACCTCAGATCCAGCTGAGCTGAGGAACCATGCTGTGGACTTTTACACGGACTTGTTCAAGCCAGTTGGCTGTGGTGTGGACAGTACCGAGAAGCTTCTGCAGGGGCTTCCTTGCCTCACTCCAGAAGATCAGGAGACCCTGAACTCACATCTAACCCTAAACGAATTGACTGCTGCTGTATCCCAGATGGCACCTGGAAAGGCTCCAGGAATAGATGGGTTACCACCAGAGTTTTTTAAACACTTTTGGGATGTTTTAGGACAAGACCTTCTGGACGTTTTTAAACAATGTTTTAATGAAGGAAAGCTCCCTGCCTCTTCTAGGCGAGCAGTTCTCTCCCTTCTGCCAAAAAAGGGTGACTTGACTCTCTTAAAAAACTGGAGACCAGTTGCTCTTTTATGTACGGACTATAAGATTCTCTCTAAGGTTTTATCAAACAGGCTGAAACTATTTATTGAATTTTTAATTGCCCCTGATCAATCCTACTGTGTACCTGGTAGATCAATTTTAGACAACTTGTTTTTAATAAGAGATGTGTTTGAGGTATGTAAATTATATCAGAGAGTCAGAGATTCTTTATTGTGGTTCCACCTCATGTACCACATGAGGTGGAACCACATTATGTACACAGGGTCCCAGTTACATCCAACATTAAAATGTAAAAGACAAACAATGATAACATCTAAGATATGAACTAAGACAAAAGGTTAACTAAATAAACACTAACAGCAAAAAAACGTTACATCAAACAGCAGCACGAACATGAGTCTGTGTGAGCAGATGAGCACGCATGAACACACCAACATGAAACAGATCAGCAGCAACAGGAAACAGATCAGCAGCAACAGGAAACAGATCAGCAGCAACACAATGTGATTTTTTTCACAGTGATTATCCTGGTTAAAGATTCATGAGTCTAACAGCCTCAGGGTAGAAGCTGTTCCTCAGTCTAGTGGTTCTACACTTAATGCTCATCAACCTCCTTCCTGAGGGGAGCGAGGCAAAAAGTGTGTGTGCTGGGTGAGTGAGGTCCTTCATGATGCAGGTGGCTGGCTTCCTGCATTTGGAGGTGTAGATGTCTGTGATGGTGGGGAGACTGACTCCTACATCTTCTGTGCAGCCTTCACCACTCTCTGCAAAGCTTTTCTTTCTGCAGCTGTGCAGCCTCCATGCCACATGTTGATGCTGGAGCACAGGATGCTCTCCACTGCACACCTGTAGAAGGAGGTGAGGACTGAGCTTCCCAGTCCAGCTCGTCTCAGCCGTCTGAGGAAGTAGAGACTCTGATGAGATTTCTTGATGCTGCTCAATAATCCAGGTAGAAAAATCTATAAAAGTTAAATCTGGTCCTCTGGACAGGTTCAAGAAACAAAACAAAACAAACTAAAAATAAAAAAAGAAGAAATGTTTTGTCTTTCATCCGAAAGACTTCCTCAGTCTGAGGTGCTGTATTCAGCTTAGTCTCTATATGCTGATGATATAAATATATTTGTCCAAGGTCAGGGAGACATACAAGAACTAAGAAAGTGTCTTACTATAAATGAAAAGGCTTCTTCAGCCAAGGTAAACTGGGGAAAAAGTAATGGATGCCTGGTAGGAAAATGGGAAGTGAGAGGGATTCCCGACTTTCCTGGCAGTCTGAGCTGGGAGAGAGTAGGTATGAAAATACTTGGGCTTTATCTGGGGACTGAAGATTACCAAAAGCAGAACTGGGAAGGAGTGCTGGAGAAGGTGGAAGCCAAATTGTCTAAATGGAAATAGTTGCTACCCCAGCTGTCGTATAGGGGAAGAGTTCTGATAGTGAATAATCTGGTTGCCTCGACTCTATGGCACAGACTTGCTGTACTGGTTCCACCTCCAAATCTTTTGGAAAATATGCAAATGCTCCAAGTGGTGTTTTACTGGTCTGGTCATCACTGGCTGAGAGCACCAATTTTGTACCTTCCAGTGGTTGAGGAAGGACAAGGACTTGTGGATACTATCTCCAGAACGGCAACCTTCAGACTACAAACAGCACAGAGACTCTTGTATGGCTGCTGTTACCGTTGGTTAGGCTTAGCCCAACTGCTACTGAGGAAGGCTGGCCGACTTGGACTAGATAAACAGCTTTTCCTAA